ATTGTTGTTAGAGGTTGGACTGTAGTGTCAGTGGGTGGTGATGTGAATTTCTTGCTTAAATGTGTGTTAGCTGAGACTAGATAACTAGGGTTCATCTTTCTGATTGTCATTTGTATAGTTTCCTAATATGGTTTCCTAAGTTGTATATGTATTTGACATTTCATTAAGTCATTATTAATACATAAAACTAGATTACCTTTGACTACATGGTATCAGAGCATTTGAAACAGGGGAGGAGCCAGGATTTGGAATCAGGGAAGCATTGACCTGTAGATGAATAGAATATAAATATTAATGTTCTTGAAATGACAAATTAGGTAACTTAACTAAAATACTTGTATCCACTTCTCACTATCATAAGCCTATTTGGTAGTTAGGTAATTAACTTGTAATGCTTGATCCTTAAAGATGGTATGCTCGTTAGATTAGTGTAGCAAGAATGTGATGTCAGATAGATTAGCACACACATTGTTCTGTGCATGAGAGAGGGAGCCATGTAGATGAATCAAATATATGGTAAAAGAAATTGGGTCTGCATCGAATTCTTATTTTAATATTTGAGGGGGAGCACATGCCCTCTCTGGTTATTACATGGCTCCGCTACTGCTTTGAAACCTAGTCGTCATTTTCATAGCCCTAGCCATCGCACATGAGGAAACAGTAGTCATGGATCTGAAACTCTAGCCTCTTCAATCGCTGTTTCTGCCGTTGCCACTTCTGCTGTCACCGCTGCTGCACATTTGAACCACAGCCATTGCTGCTACTGCACATTTGAACCCCAGCATAGCTGTCGTACATCTGTACCCCAGTCATCAAACACATGAAACCCTAGTCACTGCTACTAGGTCGTCATCGTCGCCATTGCCGTCCGTTGCTGCCACCAACATCTGATCTGTGTTTCTGGCCGTTTGATTGCTTCGTTATATATTTTGATCTCTGATATGTTTCTGGTCATTTGAATATATCAAGATCTTGCTGTCCTTTTGAATATAGAGGGTTCAAGAATAATTTTGTTCCCTCTCTTGTCCATTTGAATACACAGAGAGTGAATATTATTGGTACTCACTGTTACAATCAATCTGGTACTTCTATTGCCTTTGGTAGGAAAATTAATTCCATTTTTTGTTAGATATTTTGGGCTTCTTCTAGTCGTCAGGTCTTTATCACTTTGTTGAGACCGTGGGTGAAAACAAATCTCCTAGTATGACGAGTGTGGTGGATATAGTGTAGTAGTGCTTTGGCCGGTCGGAATTATGCTTCTATGAGGCTATCTAACCATACCGGAAACAAAGGACGCAAGACACAGATTCGAACCTCGACCACCGACAACATTTTATGCAACTATTGTCATAAGCCAAGTCATACGAAGTTTCGAGTGTAGAAAGCTTCTACACAAGAAAAAGCACATGGCGAATATTGCACTATTGATCTCTTATAACTTGGTTCTTACTTATGTCGATGAATTTGCCGCTTTCTTGGAGCGTTGGGGATCACTCAAGTCCTTATCTTCTTCTGTTACTGTTGTCGCTAGTCAGGTAAGTCCACTAGATGTTTTATTTTTGTCATCCTTCAAATGGGTGATTGGTTCCAGTGCCACAATCATGTGACATATTCTTAACTCTTTTCTACCTTCAGCTCTGAGACTTCCCCTCTTACCATTACTTATTATTTATCCTCTTGCATTTGCCTAACTTATTCTTTACTTTGCTCTCTGTCAATCAATTAACTCGTCATCTTAAATGTTGTTTCATTTGGTGGGGAAATTTCAAAATAGTATAGAAGTTTTATTTGCTTCGGGTTGAGCCTTAGGATAAGAGAAACTTGAGCTTTAGCGGTTTTACTTTGTTCCACTTAGGACCAAAATGAAACCTAAAGTGGATATAAGTGACAATTTCGACATGTGCATTCGAAAAGTCACATTTGGTGACAGTTTTGACAAATGTTGCAAAAGGAAGAGACTACCCTTCGAGAAGTCACTTCTGGTGACAGTTTGGACAGATGTCACAAAAGGAAAAAGGCAGCCCTTGAAAAGTCACTTTTGGTGACAGTTTGGATAGGTGTCGCAAATGGTGACTGTTTGAAGAGTCACGTACTTTCTGTGACAGCTTTAATTGTCACTAAAACCCCTATATATACATCCTTTTTCTGTGAAAAGACATTCTCAGTTCTATCATACCAGATTACCCTAAAGTGTTACAGTTTGTTAGTCTCTTGAAATCCTTGATTACTCACTAGTTCACCGGGATTATCAGCAACCATGCATTTTTGACAATCATACTACATACGTTGCTTCATTGTACTCCGGGAAGCAATTCGTTAAAAACCCAAGCACACTCGGTGGGGGCGAAATTGCTTTAAGATAGAGATTACTCACGTTGAAAGCAACAAATAGTAGTTTCTTATTACCCTTTTCTTAGCCTAATTTTAGTACCCCAAAACCAACATTCCGCCCCCCCTAATCATTGCTAGTTCAGGATCTTATAATGAAACGGGTCATTGACATAACATCAATTTAAAGGCCTCTACATTCTTGACACACCGCTATAACAATCTGTTGCTTGTTTCGGTGTAACTTCTTTTGAGGCTCATTGTTAGTTGAGTCATCCATCTCTCCCGTTACTTAAGAAGCTTTGTCCACAATATAGTAATGTGTTCTGGTTCCATTGAATCATGTCACTTTGTGAAACATCGTCGTACTAGTTCATGTCGTATAGCCTTTGAACATGCTAAGGTTCCTTTTGAGTTGGTTGACTTAGATGTTTGGGGGCCTCGTCCTATTTTGTCTAAAAGTGGATTTTGTTATTTCCTCACATTTATGGATAGCTATTCTAGTGTAACTTGGTCATATTTAATGAAAAATCATTTAATTGTTTCTTTTTTGTGTCTTTTGTGCCGAAATTAAAAATGAAATTCAATATCAGTACATTGCAAAGTGAAGTATTTGTGTACTTAATTTTCTTTCTTCATTTGTTTCATATAACTACTTGTCATATTCTTTTCTTTTATTGTTTCCTTGATTGTCTATCCTTAAAAACTCTCTATGAAGCGATGTGTCTCATCATGGTTGGTTGGCATAATGCCAGGATAGAAGAGATGAATGCTATAGATGACAATGGTACTTGGGGCTTGGTAGATTTGCCTTCACAGGAAACAGACCATTAGATGCAAATGGTTGTTATGGTTGCTCATAGTTAAGGTCAATTTGGATAGGTCCGTTGCCACATTAAATGCTCGCCTTGTAGCTAAGGACTATGCTCAAACCTATGGAGTGGACCGATACTTTTTCTTCTGTTGCGGAAATGACATTTGTTATGTTGTTTATCTTGAGAGTGGCTACTCATACTTGGAATTTGCATAAACTTGATATCAATAATGTTTTTTCCTCATTGAGGAGATATATATGGAGCAACGTTCTGGTTTTGTTGCTCGGGGGAGTAAAGGAATCGTCTCATCTTCAAAAATCTTTATATGGTTTGAAAAGAGTCCCCGTGCTCGGTTCGAAAGTTTCACTGAGGTTGTTGAAGAGTTTGATTTGAAGAAAAACAAGTCTGATTATTATGTGTTCTACAAGCGGTCAGAAGCTGGTATAATTCTGTTAGTTGTCTATGTGGATGACATTATCATGACTGGAAGTGATACTACGAGAATCTCATCTAGTTTCACTCAAAGGACTTGGTGGTACTTAAGTATTTCTTAGGCATTGAAGTTACGAGAAGTAAAGAAAAAGTATATTCCTATCTAAAAAAATATGTTCTCGAGTCTTGACCTACAACCTAGACTAGGAAAATTGGTAGCAAAAACCTTGTAGATCTGCATTGATTCCCTTCTTGCACCTTAGAAGAGGTAGGGAACTATTTCAAGATCATGAGAGATATCAAATGTTTGTTGGGAAACTGAATTATCTTACAATGACGCTTTCTGATATTGCATATTCGGTCAGCATGGCTAGTCGGTTCATGTCATTTTGGATAGTTCATCATTGGGTAGTGTTAAAACAAATTTTATGTTACTTGAAAGTGGTAATGGGGCATGGCATTGTGTATGCAAATCACGGACATAGCCGTATTGAATGTTTTTCGGATGCAGTTTGGGCATGTTCAAAAATGTATAGAAGAAGATCCAATCCATGATATTTTAATTTTGTTGGAGGAATTTGGTCTCATGGAGAAGTAGGAAGGAAAAAGTCGTCTCAGGATCCAGCATAGAGTCATTTTACTGGGCTATGGCACAATGCATATGTGAGATAATGTGGATATATGAGCTCCCGACTAAAGTAGGACTTAAAACTTCAGCAACAAACTTGTGGTGTGTCAATCGAACACCTCTTCGTGTTGCGTCTGATCCTTTGTTTCATGAGCGTACTACACAAATTGAAATTGATTATCATTTTGTTTGTGAAAAAAATTCAACAAGGCTTAATCTCTATAGAATATGTGAAGTCTGGTGAACAATTAGCGGACATCTTCATGAGAAACTTTAAATGGGGTTCTAGTTGATTAATGATTATCTTTGTGACAAGTTCGGCATGATTGATTTCTATGCTCCAACAGGAGGGAGAGTGTTAGCTGAAAAATAGATAACTAGGGTTCATCTTTCTAGTTATCATTTGTATAGTTTCCTAATATGGTTTTCTAAGTTGTTTATGTATTTGCGCATCGCTTCTCAGTACTTAATACAGAAAATTAGATGTACTTACTTTTCGTTTCTTTTCTTTGGTGAAAAATTAAATTGTGTTGATTACAACCTCATAGAGATCCAAATGCCTTATGATAGGAGGAATGCAACAGCCTTCCAGAAACTACAAGATATTGCTTACACAACATGAATCAACACTAGAATAAAAGAAATTACGTCTCAAGGGTCATAGATATGGACTCTATAATGAGACTGCTATACAATACTTTAATTTGCCTTTCACCATAATTCATTGCATATCCCATGAATCGACTGTTCTGGCATCTTGATGTTAATTCTAACATGAAATTTGTTGTCTTTTATAGGTAGGCACAAACCGATCTTCTTGGCAACTATTTTACAGCTCAGTGTCCGAAAGAGTGACATCTTATCTTTCCCTCCCAAGAAAGGTTTCACAAGTAGGAAGTGGTTAGCTTTACATCCTGTGATGCTGCTGTGGGTTCACCTTGCTGTTTCCAGTTGCAAGTTAATTGAAAATATATAACCATTTCATCAAGTTAAAACTAAAAATGGATATATATATATATATATATATATATATAAATATATATAAGGGACTGAGAGGCATATCGAGGTTGAAGATGGTCGTTTCAGTTCAGCTACAGTATTACCAGGTATGAAGCAGTTGATATCTGCATTGACCAAGGTTCATATACTACCACGTCCACATCTAGATTTGATCATTTTGTTGTAGACTTTTGTATTGCTTGGATGACTAATCTTACTTTGAGCCTTTTTATTTTATGTTATAGCTGCCTTGTACATATTTAGTTCACATTTCATAGATGTATAGTGCATGTTGAAATGGTCAAATCCTAGTCCAAGTACCATTTCTGTTCTACATTCCCTTTCGATATGCAAAGTGACGTCCGTGGGCGTGCTTGCTGGGATTTTTTTATTGGTTTATTTTATTTCTTCATTATTTCGAATTGAGGTGAGAATTGTTGGAAAAAATTGTGTCCTTTTAATTTTCAAAGCATTGATTCTGAAGTTAGTAGCAGGTTTGTATCTTATGATGTGTGTTTGGTTGGGGGTTTTGAGTAAACAGTTGCTCTAGTCTCTGAGGTGGTCAGGTCTATGTACATTTCACCCCTCCAAACCCAACTTTTTGAGTGAGATTTACTAGACCTGTTTGGTCTAGGTGAGCTACATATTTGCCAATAGTAGAGGCAGTGAGCTCTTTGTATCGTATGCATGCATGCTTGGAAAACCAATAGCCACGATTGCTAATAATGGTGCAAGCTTGTCAAAAAGATTTATGTTCTAGCACAAAAAGCATCTGAAACAAAATTGCTGTAGCCCCGTCTAACCAAAAGCATTTGAGATTACAGGATCTTAACTACCCTAAAATACAGCTGAGACTCCATTATTGTCTGTGTAAACTTAAACCTTCTAATGAGACGTCAGAAGTACCAAAGTTCCTATGTTTACCATCAGACACATTTGAGAGTCGAAAGCCATGTTTGGGTAGCTGGTTAATCAATAGAGTTTCTAGCTGGCAAGCCATGCTCTTCCCAGGAACCAAGAAATACAGGACGGATGCATTTTGCATTCCCTGCTTTGACCGATGTGCTCGAACCCGACCCTCAAGATCATCAGTCTGCAAGCACAAATTCCATCAAAAAATTTAATAGAAAACCAGTCATTCATTCAAAAATAGAACACCATTAGCCAATAGCCAGGGTGGCGTAATCATGACGATATCAAAATTATTGTAAGTGAAATGACATAAAGTAGGGAGCAATAAATTCCTAAAGATAAAATTGGAAAGTAGAAACTTATTTTACGATAAACCAACTTATTTTGGAATGGAGGGAGTAGCAAGTTCAAATGAGCACACCTGTCCAACATAAAGTCTGTTGTCAGGTCTAAGGATCACATAAACACTTGAAGCACCAACTGCTGAAGGAGGAGGCTGTTCCCGTGGACCAATTACAACGCATCTTATCGCAACTTCTGATGTAGTTTTCATCTTACAAACCTCAATGCTGACAGCAGTTTCTACATCTTTCAGAGATTTCTCCTTTTGCTCTGCTGATTCTTGGATCTGTATTGGGTGATTGTAGGCTTTATGAGATCCATTTGCACTACAAGGAAAATGTCCAACTTTTATGTTGCTCTTCCCTGAATTTAAGTCCTCTCTGTACATTGAAGTATAAAGTTCTTCAGCTCTATGTATTATTGCCTCTGGAAAGCCTTCTCTCCGAGCTGTTTCAAATGCAAGACTCTCCCTGCATATTCCGTCCATCAACTTCCATGTCAGTTTAGTTTGACCATCCACATATTCACTTCCCATTGCTTTAAACACAGTAGTCTTTGCCATCAGTGGTAACTTGAAGATATCATGCAAGTGAGTTGATACAATCCCCAAACAACCAATTGAATCAAGAGTTTCCACAATACTACCTGCAATACATGTCCCTTTTGCTGTTTCGGTTCCTCTGCATATTTCATCCACAAGAACAAGGCTCTTTGAAGTGGCTCCGGTTATAATAGAACGTAATTCAGACATTTCAATCTGAAACCACAAGCACAGGCATAGTTATGACTGGAGCTTGTCAATAGTTGATAACTAAATATAATATCATTGTGTTGTATGATATTTTTAAAAATATAAAGCTAGACCATGCATCTTTTTTTGTTAAATATTCTACAGTTCAGCAGTTTGCAGTTACATGATCTATGCCGAGTGGATTAGAACATCTATTAAGTACGTGAAAGATAACCAGTCTGATGGTTAGCCAAAAAATTGTGAATCACTTGATGTGTCACCAAATAAGTGAGCAAATTTGCAGAAAGAAAATGAAAAAGAACGAGAAAGAAAAAGTAACAAGACGAGTAAAAAGTTGTAAGAATTTAAGCCACCTGAAATGAGCTCTTCCCATCTGCAGGGCTGTCATAAGATTTCATGTGTAACATAATAGAGTCAAATTGCGGTATTACAGCTGAGTCAGCTGGCACCATAAATCCACATATTCCAAATAATGCTGCAGCACAAATCGAACGAAGCAAGGTTGATTTACCACCACCATTTGGTCCAGTCAAAAGAAACATTGATTTCATATCAATTGTATTCTGCACAGCACTGCCTTCAGCTGCATCAAACCAATATGGTGATAGACCGGTAATTTTCATCCCATGATATCCATTCGTTTGTCCCTTTTCCTGCATTGGAAAATTCAGCATAAAAATGAGAATTGCATGGCCTCCAAAAGTTACCATATTGCCAAGTCTAGAGACTAGACAATATGAAACATTCATTTTACTTGCTTTTCGTTTACCGAGCATAACACATCAAAATATTTTTCACATTGTGAATGACTAAAAAACCGAAGCTTACTCATGAAAAATACAATACATCTAGAAGAATTAAACATCTGGTTCCATCTGATTCTAGCTATGTTTGGCCAACTACCTGATAAGCTAGTAACATTTGGTAAAAAAAAACTAGCTAATAAGCTAAATGACAATGTAAATGACCTAAAAAGACATGTTTAAAAAATAATTGGAAAAAAATAAGGAGCATAAATGAAAAAAAAAAGAAGGAAAAAGACCCCTAGAGCTTATTGAAACGCAACTTGAAGTAGCTTTTAAAAAAGCTAAGTTATGGCTAACCAAAAGAAGCATTTTCAATAAACATAAAAATCAAGTTAGCTTATGGTTGCCAAACATGACCTCTAAAAAGAATTCGAAAATCCAAACAGCATACTAGATGAAGAATGACAAAAATAACTTAAAGGTGTCTAGTTGGAGGATGTCCAGGTAATAGCCATTGAAAAAACAAAATAGAAATGCGCCGAAGAACGTATCAGAAACCATATAGTAGGTGATCAGTTGATAAGTACCTCAGAACCAGAAAACGGAACGAGAGTAGGGAACACCCATTTCCTTCTTCTCCCCTCACTGTTTCAGCATTAGAGAATGTTCAGTTGTGACTAAAGTGAACATGATGTTAGAGTTTCTTATATTATTGAGATGCAAAATGCATAAAGAAAGCAAGTAGACCATGGTAAGGGTAACACACAGGCATGAATATCCTTCTAAGTGTGAGTATTCATAACCGTAATTCACTTCACCATAAACCTTAAGAAACGGCACTTCACATTTACAAAAATTAACTTTATCTATTTATTTCATGGTCAGCAAGAGAATTAAGTTTCACACATTTCTTTTGTTGTTCAAGAAAAACGCAAATAATGAATCTTCTTTCTTATGGGAGGGGTTGAAAATATGACTTTTTGCAACTTTATCTGTACAATTATTAATCCAAGGAGTCTTGTGCTATAACAGGAAGATGCATCATGGTCCACTCCTTTAAACTAGGCATTAGTCAATTAAGTAATATATCTCAGTGACTGCTTTAGAAAATCGAAGTATATAAACATCTTGAGGCCAAATAATATTAAAAACTAGCATACACTTCTAAATTTAATATCTACCTCACATGAGCAAACAATGCTTTTGCAATGACAAGTAACGTGGTGGCAAAAATGAGAACGTTGACTTTAGCTTGCAATTCAGCAGAAAGTCCCCTTAACAATTCTAAAACTGCTGTCTTTGCGTTTGCACCAGCTTCGTGATACCTGAAAAATTGATAAAAAAAAATTCCTAGTAGTATTAACAGGAATAAGATGAGTGTTATGCTTTTCTTAAAACAGAACTTTTTTATTATTAATGCCATAAACAAAAAGATTAACCTTGTGATTGCATCCTCCACCTTCACTGTGGTATACCATTCCTCTCCAACCTTTCTACCCTTTGAATCTATAGATGGCCTGAGTTGTTTTATTTGTTCTTCTCCTGGGTTACCAGTCCAAATAGCTGGTGAAAAACGTTTTCCCTTGAACCAAACAGCTCTGTGCTCCCGAGCATATGAGATTTCTCCCCTTGCACCCCCAAGTGGTGCCGTGATAGCTCTTATTCTTGAAATTATAGGAAGAAAATCTTCCGTAACCTAAAAGAATGGCCAGATGTTAATTTACTCGGGAGGATATTCATAGTTTTCAGAAAATATAATGAAAAAACTTTCATCAAGGAAATTTAGACAAGGACAAGGGTAGATACACAATTAGCATATGAATCTGCTAATCCATGCTAGCATTAAATAATTAATCCATCATTCCGTTAGAGGAACATACATCCCTTTCTATCACTCATAAGCATCTTACTATAGGTCCTCCATATTAGGTTTCCCATGTATTTCAAAAACTACCCCTTCTATGTATAGCCCTTCACGAAGTAAATTTTGAGGGCCCATCTATGTGGCACAATACTTTTGTGCACATGAAATGTTATTGTAGATGCAGGTAGATATTATTGTTGAGTTCACCTGATTTGTAGAGAGATGAAAGCTGTAACATCCACCTATTTAAATATGCTTAACTAGTAATTATAAGCATACCTTATGTGTTATTTTAAAAAAAAAAATTGCTAAAATGCTTAAATGCCAAGTATACTAGTGAGCTATAAGTAGAACTCATAATTGGAATGAGATGTAGAAGATAAGATTGGTGCTAACACCTCACAATTGACATAATTAGATAATGTAAGGGTTCAACATACAAAGTACATTGCATACATGATAGTTGGGTAGGTATCTAGAGTGCCTAAATGAGAAAAATCTACCCAAAACTTGAATGGAAGATCTAAATGGTGATCTAAATGTTGGAACACCTTTGAATAAGTAAATATGAAGTGTTAGAATTGTCGGAAGTCGAAAAAGTCGCGTAGATTGCATTTTATGCAAGTTTTTCAAATTACGGTATGATTTCGATAAATTACGTGCACAATACTCAATCGGGAGGTTTTTGATAGGATGTTAAGCTTTGGAACTAAGTTTTGGACCTATTAGGAGTTGTTGGAGGTGTCGGAAAWTTTTTACGGGATTCCGAACTCAAAATAAAAAAGGGCAAAATTTCAAAGGAAAACATAACTCGTACAAATATGAAAACTGCTGTTATTGGGAGGTCTTTTATGAAACTTTTTTTTTTGTAAATTATAGATTATCTTGTTATGAACGCGTAGGCGAAAACCTTATCGAAAACGGAGTTTCGAGCGAAAAGTTATGCAATTTTTAGTCTTTAATGGTCAAAACGGGTACCCAACCGGGTCAAACCGACCCAACTCGGGTTTTAGACATATAAACACGAATTCAGCCCCAATTCTTCCCCATTTTCGTTTCTAAGTTTCTGTACTCTTCAAGGGAACCAAACTTGGGTGTTTTAGCAAGAAATTGGTGAAATTTTGCAAGATTATTGAAGGTATGCTTCCATTTTTGATAATGTATTCACTTCGAGTTCAAGAAACCATGAAATTAGGGTTGCATGTTGAGAATTATAAGCTGAAATTTTGATATTGTGTAGGATATGCAATACATAACTTATTATCTTGTGGAAATCATGATAAGATAACAAGAAATAGTTGTGTATACATGATATGGTTTGGGAAAGTTTGACTTTTGATAGTCAACCTTATATGAAGATGAACTAGGTGAATGTTTAGTAAAATAATGATGGATTCATGATAATTTCATATAAGCTATGGTAATATAAGACTAATATATGAATTTGGTACAAAATGGTTTGGAGTTTAACTTGAAAAGGTGAAAAATAACTATTTTCGAGTTTGAAAGTCTTGGTATAAGAACTGTTTTAGAAAAATCGTATAAAATAGTAGAAAAATCCTAAAAATATGTACAAATAGGCTCTGGAAAGGTAAGAAAAAGTTCTACAATTCATATTGAAAGTCATTTAATGATTTTGAGTTTAAGAAGGTCAAAACGGGTCTGCAAGTAGGTGCTGTAAGGAGAAAACTAAAGTAGAAAACTTGAATTAAAAAAGGGTTAATTTTATGTTATTGTTGTGCATTGTTAATAAGACTTTATATATGAACTCCAGRTGTTATTTAAGYATAATTTAAGGCCTTGGAAGTGCTTTCCAAMCACTGAACGGGAGTTAGGATTCGACTTTTCGGTTTGGCTTCCGGTTTGATCAACCGATTTCATTAAACAACATTGTGAGTTTATGTGGACATATGTGTGTACTTTGTGATTATATATGCTATGATGTTTTATTGTTTATCCATGATTCATGTTAGTTCTAGATTATTACCTCGAATTGGTCTTATTGCTTGTATTGTTTTGTGATGTGTTTTGGGCGCCGATTGTCGATATCCCATGGAGTCCGGGTGAGACAACCGGAGGGGCT